TTTTCCACCAGGACAATGCTAGGCCGCACACGTATTTGTCCACTCGGCAAAAATTGATGGATATTGGTTGGGAATTGATGTTACACCCACCATATAGTCCTGATCTCGCGCCATCGGATTACCACTTATTTCGATCCCTGGACAACTTCCTTCGTGGTAAAACTTTTAATGATGACGACGCTGTAAAATCTCATTTAACTCAGTTTTTGGCCGAAAAGGATCAGACTTTCTACGAGCGTGGAATTTTCAAGTTGTCAGAGAGATGGCAAAAGGTCATCGAACAAAGTGGAAAATACATTACAGATTAAACTTCATTCCAAGTAAAAAAAAATTTTTTATTTCGTTGAACAAATCGGCAATTTCTTAGTTGCCAACCCAGTACTAAAAAGTCTACCTTTTCAAATAAAGGAACATTGACTAAAAATGGTTCTAAAAATTTTGAGAACAAAAATTTCCCAAAAATACCATTTTCTTAAACTCCTAATTGAGCATGACCCCTTAATGTCCATTTTTACATGATGTAAAAAAGATATCTAACATTCTATCTAAACAAGTGAAGGTCACGTTTGTTTCTAGGAAAATATTAAGGATACAAAAAATAGAGCTAGCCTATTATATTGCTAGTTACTGCTATTCTGTTTTTTTTTTCTAATCTTTATCGTTTACGAAAAAAAACGCTGGTACAAATTACCGCGAACATCCTTTATATTATGCTCATCTGTCCATCCGCAGTCTTACACATAGTTTTCCTTTCCCCCTCTAATCTAATCATCTACCATTTACAGCACCTTCAATGATATTAGAGGGTCTTTGCTAATCCTAGAATATCTGCCATGTCATCCAAAGGAAAACCGAAGAAAAATCGGTACATACTAATTTCGATTCCGACGGCATACTGGTTTTGGTATTCATACATTTTAGTATTGTGGCAATTTGGTATTCATACATTTTGGTATTGTAATGATTTCGATATTCATACGTTTCGGTATTGTAACAATTTCTGTTATACACATCGGTTTCGATTTAGCCTTGTTAGTAGAATACCAGCGTAAAAATCACGTCGGTTATTAGTTCCTGCTATAATAGAGTGTTAAACCGCGTCCCCACTGAATCGGTATTTGCCAATCGGCAAAGCTGTTCAGCAATGCGAAGCAAGTGCAGACATGCCTTTCAGCTTAGTATGCATATGTGGTCTGAAAAGCCGAATGGGATGCCGATCGTGTTATCGATTCGTGTCGGTAAACATAAAAAGAAATCTTACAGAATGCCAGCAGTGAAGCTCCGAATTCGATAGTGAGATTTCAATTGAAATTGAGCACCGATGTACACGCGTGATATTGTATGATAACCTTGACATAACCTTCTGCACCCACAAAATTTTCTCAAATCACCTATCAAAGCTCGAAAGTATTGATTTGCGAAATAGTAACCGACGCTTCGAATAAAATATAACATTATGTAACGTTGGAAATGATTGATCAATTTACGCAGAATTTGGTACAAAAGTTTCGGTGTAAAATTTTGGTATAAAATTATTTGCAATTTTTGACAACAATTTATTAGCCATTGTCTAATAATAAACTAGTCTCTCTAACATCGCAAAAACATTTCGATTACTAGGCCTAATTATAAAAATGTTATTCCGTTTTAAAAGTTGTACAAATATTTTGTACACCGACTGTGTTTTACAGATTAATTAGACTAGGCGTCGATCAAAATCAAGTCTTTCATGAAATCGTATAAATGTCTGTAGATGATCTCCTGCGTAAAGTGACATGCATTCAATATCACTACTTTTTCACACCTGTTATGAACAACTATCAGATGAAACTATGGGATTACCTGGTATCTAAAATGGAACATCTAGAAGATTGTATAGAAGAAAAATCGTAGCATATACTTGAATACTTGTAAAATGATTATTCATACAAACATTTTTATAATTTCAATAACTGTAACAATTTCAGTAATCGACAGAAAATACCGTCGCGTTTATAGTTCAGAATGTTCTGTATGGGAGTTTTGGCGCGTCACGTGACTCACTTATTCGATTTAAAATCTAACTTATTCTTCTGGTTACCATGGCCTCAGCTTGGTCATCAAGCAAAGTGGGCAATACAGGATAAATAATAATTTTAGAAAGCAAATCCATACCATTTCTTAGGGAACATAATTCAGGCTATTTTCAATCATTTCTGGAAAATAAGGCTGTCATTCATATTAACATAATAACAACGGTTTTGATCCAAATCAATGCTATGAAATACTATGAAGTAGTAATGGCTGTGTGTAATGAAATTCGAAAAGAAATTTACGTCGATGTTCTTAATAATATTCCGGCTCGTGTATTGAAACCGATAGCAAACAGAGGTATCAAAGTGGAAACAGGTATATAGGGTGAGTCATAAATTAATCCCCACGATTTTTCAGTCCCTTCCGATGGACTGACAGAGGAATGTTTCTTATCGAAGTGAATTAGTATTTAACCGATAAGAAATTGCAGTTGTTTAAATTAAAAAACAAATTGATTTCCAATAAAAAACAAAGTCACTGTTATATTTTAAAATTTTTCCTTCAATATCATCTAGAAGTTATCAATTAACAGGTCATTGAATTCGTCTCGTCATCGCCTACAATACTGTGAAGTTAAAATTACCTAGTTTTTGTTATAAATATAAAGGTGACCTTGTTTTTTTATCGAAAAATAATTTGTTTTTCAATTTAAACGATTGAAATTTCTTGTCGATTAAATACTATTTAATTTTGAGACGAAACATTTTTTTGTCAGACCTTCGGAAGGGGCTGAAAAATCGAAGGGACTAATTTGTGACTCACCCTGTATACAAATATTACTATAATTCATGTTTTATGTTACGGTGCTATGATTATGCAACAACAACAGAATTACATTTTTAATATATTTCTTCGCATCCATATTGTTTATTCTATTTCTTTAAATCGAATAATTGATTTTCATGAATTTTCTCGAAAAGTTTATAATAGGACTCGAAATTTGCCAGCATGCAACATTCAAATCCAGTGTAGGCGAACCCTGATCTATAAACACTAAAAAAGGGTGCTCTTTACGTGCTCCTAAAGTTATCCATTGCAGTGTACACACACATACATAGTATATGTGATTTCTTAAACATCGATGACCTTTGAAAACCTCCGAGAATAAAGTGAAATGAGAAATTTGTTTATATCCTCGTAATTGTTTAATTGCTGTCTCTATTTTCAAGATTCCTTATAAACCGTTCACATCCCAGAAAGTGGTTGGAACAACGTAGGAAGGGAACCTAGGACACCGTATTTAGAACTTTGTTATTAATTTTTGCGCTGATCGAATTCTATTTTTGTGAGTGTTGAATTTTATTTAATCTATTCGATTAAATAAAATAACATTGGCGGTCGAAGTGTTATAGTTGAGAACAAATCTTCCCAGTGACCAGCAAATATGACAAATTCAGAAAACTTTCGAAACATTTGATTCGTTAATAAAATCGCAATCCCTGTTTCTTAATCTGCGTCCGCAAATAGTGAATGCTGCGTTGTTAATACTTCGATTAAGCAAAGGAAAAAAGCAGGTAGACCATTCGGCGTTTATGTACCTGAGTGTAGGTCATCCAGCAACATGGCTCCACCTGATTGGAATCGAGACCCCAGAAATCGAGTTCTTCCTCGAACAGTGGTCCGCAAACATCCGTTGGATAGTGGAGCTTTCCGGTGCGATAGTAATTGAGGACCTGGGCGAAGACCCCCGGATGTCTGTCGAAGAAGTACTCGTTTAAGATGGGGTCGTAGTTCGCGAGAGCCTCGGTCAACCTCGATAGCCTCGTCGCGGGGATCTTCTTCAGGGTCGCCTTGTACGTTTCGTGCCGGATTCCGCCTACATTCAGGACCACGCGGTTCTCCGAATCCGAGTTTACAAGACTCATTTTGATCACGGCTCTGCTACCGCCGGTCCCGACTCAGAGAAACCCACGCGGCCTAAAACAGAAATAAATAAATACATAATTAATAACGGTTCAATTCAGTAGCTATTCGGAAGAAGGACCTGTGGCGCTAAAACCCTGTTCCGTCTCAGATAAAAAATGTTTCCTTTCTTACAAAGCTGGGGTATTAATAAAAAGCATGTGTCATCCATATTGTAAAAAACTTTATTTTTATTGTGGAACGACACAAAAGAGAAAGGAACGACACAAAAGAGAATAATTATTTAGCTTGCAATAAAAAATAGCAGAACTAGAAAATAACGATTTTGGAGGCCCTTTATCGAAATATTGTGTTTTCACGTGATATTACTGAATCAAAATCATTACAGACGTGTAATATTCTATTTATATAATGCATTGTAGTATATATAAAGATATAATGAGATATGCGAGAAGTTTTTTATAATATTTATCACAGAGAAAATAAAATTACATTTTCAGTTTTATATCATAGAAAATTATCTTAGCAATGGAACACAATTAAATCGAATTTTCGTACAAGAATTAATTTGTAATAATTTTTCGTAATTTTTCTGTATATTTTTGCTTAAAAAAGAAAATAAACTTATAATATCCTCTATGATAGTATTTTTCAATGCAACAATTCTCTTATATGGAAAACTTTCATCACATATTATTTTGTAGTTTTTTAAAACATGTGAAAAACTATCAGATTTATATATCATTTTTCTGTATAACTAAATTTTGAAATAGAAAATAATTTGATTTAGGTTTGGATAATTTAAGTAATTAAAATATCTTCTAAACCAATGATTTTTCGCGATAAATGCTTTAGTATTTTTATGAAAAGAATGACGAGCTGAATCGATTAGTATAATAAAAAATATACCATTACATTAAAAAGAATAAAGTTGACCTTCATATGTTCTCGACGCATTCACCTACGAACATCTTATTAATATCAAATCACGTACCCCCGAAAAACATTCAAATTTCGTTTGATATATTTTTTAGATATTTGACTGGATCGATTTGTGTGCAGGGTGTACAGGGTAAAAAAAATTATATGTCACGACCACGGCAATGTGCAATTCTACACCTCTGGATTGGTGGAAATCTGCTTAAAAAATGAATCAAAAAATTGTTCTTAGCTTGCAAAAACCAAGGTCAAAAGTCAAATTTTTTTATTGCAACGCATTGCAAGCCAAACCATTACATAAGTAACGATATTAAATACAATATATAAAAATTATATAGGATATCTCCAAAATGTTCATGTTATAACAATATCATGTTATAACAAGGCTGGGAACTGATTCTACATGCAAAAATAAATCGAGAGGAAAGTATAACATTTTTTTCATTGACAGTATCATTTTCGAGAAAACTGAATTGGAAAATGCATTAAGATCTCATGGCTTCTAGTATGACGAGAGGTAGAATTGGTATGTCATGGCCAGACGCGGCACTTGATCCCAATTCAGTAGTATTATTTTCTCAACATAATTTTTCTTGAGAAGGGAACCATAAATGAAAAATGTTATTTTTTTTCTTTGACCTATTTTTGCATCTAGAATCACTTCTCGGCGTGTTGTATTTCGATAATGGAGACACCCTATATGTATATGTAAGTTTTATATGTCGTTTTTGTTACTGATTTTTAGATAAAGGGTAGACTTTAGATCTATGGCTCCTTTCAGCGTTTTGTTCTCCTTGATGAGTACTATACGTTGTAAAAAAATTTTTACCATTTAACTTCGATTTTCAAGATCAAGGACAATGTTGCGGTCCATTTTTTTTAGCAATCTTCAACGTTCCAGAGATGTAGAATCACATACACGGTATCGGACAAATGAACAGAGCTGGTTAAAATAGTAGTAAGTGGACATTATACATATTTTAGATCATGCATGTATTTTTAAAAATAAAATATTTGATTTTTTTTTATTGAAATATTTGATTTTTTTTTTGTTCGAAAGAAAAAATAATAATATTTTAAATTGTATTTTATTCGAAAAACACTGAAAATATTTGTGCCATAATTCGCACACAATAACATTTTATTCATTTAATTTATTATCATCATTTTATACTTTAGCTTCAGATTACCAAGATAAACTATTTCATTTAATCTACAGAAATTTTATGTCCTATTTGAAACACTATTTTAAGTGAATTGTGAAAAATCTATGATTTAAAATAGTTCAAGTATTATCAACATTTCCCAGTTTTGCAAATGAAGGGAATTACATAACCTATCGTATTTGGAGAATTTTCATGAGTCATCTGCCGAAAAGTCGAAAGTATTCGTGCAGCAATAAGTAAATCTTTAGAAAATTATAAAACGAAAAGTTTAGAAACTTTTGAAACTGCCTCAACGATGTAAGTTTCTATGTTAAAAGCAAAATTCACAGTTAAATTATGAAAATATCATTCCTAATACATATGAAGTTTATCTGTGTACAATTAAATTTAGTGAGTGATTAATTCAAGAATTCTTATTCATTCTTATTAATTCCAGCCCCGACAAGTTCGATCATTTTTATGTCAAATTATTTGTTATTTTACTTGAGCGAATAATTGAAATAAAAAATTATTTGAAAATAATCTATTTGGATCGAAAACAGAATAAAGTTAGTTTTCTGTGTTGTCTGTGAATTAAAAATAATAATCTATAATTATTCCAAATAATTATTTGTTAACTTAATTCAAATAAAATTGCCTGCTATCAACTATGTTTCGACGAATATCGCTCATGACATCAATACATCCTGCACAACTCTATAGCATAGACCTTTCTTCCATAAGTTCAAAACATTTAAAGAATTTCTTTTTTCTATTTAATATCGACTGCTGAGGGAACCGTTACGAGCCGAGGGCTAAGGCAGTTGTGCATGGCGGATGGCTTGTTTAGTTTTTTGGTATCTTTGCAGATTGTGGAAACCATCAGTTAATGAAGTATAGGCGAACTAGCCGATGCCTGTTTCATCACCGGGTGCCACATGATAGATAATTGTGAATTAGCCCATTTCTGTTTCATCATCGGTTGCCATAGGGATAAGGCTTGAAATACGATTTTAGCCCCGTAACTTATTAATGATTTGGTGCGCTTCGAGCGGCAAAAGTGCACCATAGCGGGCTTCATTAGCTACTGGACTCTCGAAGGAATATGAATCAATAAATGAGCCAAACTCTATGTACTACATCTAAATTATAATATATTATCGAAAATTATTATGACTTCACATTTGTTGAAGTGTGAGGTTCTATCGCAGATTCTAAATTCCATGCCCTCGGTTACGGCACACTGAATGAGAAATGCGGGGGAAATCAGAAGCAACAGCCTAAGCTCTGTTCTAAGCCCGGTATACACGGAGAGATATCAACTCTAAGATACTGTCCAGGGGGCTACCAATCTAATACGTGATTTTGGAACAGTATTTCAACTGCTATCTAGAATAATATAAGCTTTTCGTACTAAAATTCAATATGGCCGGGAATCTATACAGGGTGGCCCATTTGTAGTAACGCACTTAATTATCTCCTAAACTATAGCTCATTTCCAAAAATACGTAAAATGAATCTTACCATGTTCCGAGGGAAGCACCCCATAATTGCCGCAAATTTTTGGTGGCTGGACGTGCTTCCGAGATTTCAACTTTGATTATTTAACTATTTTTGTATGCAAACGGACAATACATTTCAAGTTCAAATTGATTGATCTACAATACTGCACTGTTTAAATCTTAGTTAAAGGTCCCAAAAGTTCCATCTTCCTTCAATACTTCGTTCAGTTTTTGGTCGTTGGTAAACGTTAAACCTTGAATTGATCTTGAAATGCACATTCTGTTTACAATAAAAAAATGTACAGTTCCAGTAAGAAATACCAAAGAATTCTTGAAATCTCGGAAACACGATCAACCAGCAAAAATTTGCGGTCATTGTAGCATGTCCCCTTCGAATCAGGGTAAATTTCTACTTACTCTTAATAAAATCTTAATAAATATCTAATTGTTTAGATATTTTTGGTATTTTTTACATATTTCTGGTAGTGGAGCCGGTTTTCAAGCATAATTAACATTATATTTATGGAACAAGACATGTTAAATTTTTTTATTCTCTTTCATCTAGTTTACGTTTAAATAAAAGAAACTTAATATGTCATATTCTATAAATACAAAGTTAATTATGCCTATAAACAAACCACAAGCACTGGAATTGATCATATCATCTATATATGAGCCGTTTATTTTGAAAGTGGCATAAGTCACTTTGTTTTTAAGTCGATATATTTAAGGGTTTGCGTTTTAACACGTTTAAAAATATGGATGCTATCTTTTTAGAAGATTTATTTGTATTTGTTATCTCAGGATACTGATATTTTTCTCAGTATAAATAATTTCGTATAATCATTAAAAAATCCCCACTTTTCATTACGGTAAAGTGACTTAAGCCACTTTCAAAATAAATAGTTTAGAAAAATGACTGACATATATTAATTTTGTCCGATGTATTTTACTGAAGTGATGTTTTGAAAGGACAGTGATTTACTAAAATTGTTGAATAAATTACATATATAATAATAATTTATACCATGAACATATTTAATATAAAGGTTTGATTTAAGTATTTTTATTTTAATATTCAATA